CGCCAGCTCCGGTTCCGGCTCCGGCTCCACAGCCGCCATCGTCCTGCCCGAGCTGCAGCAGCCGCCGTTCAAACCCGCGCCGCGCCCCAGCATGCCCCACGCGCTCCAGTCTATGAGCAGCAGCCCGAGAGCCCGCTGTCGGCGCCAGCCAATCGGTGCGACCCGAGCGCTCGAGGAAGAGGGAGGGCGGAGCCCGGGCAGTCGCCACGGTCATGTGACGGGGGCGGGGCGCTGCCGGCCTAGGGCTCCGCTGCCAGCTCTGCCCGCAGCCCTTGTGCCGCTAGCTCAGCGTCCGGAGAGCAACTGTATAGCTGCTTCCACTTTCTGCTGCGCAGTCCTACCAGTGCAACGCCACACCCACTTCGCAAACCCTGCACTACCTACTACAGGAAGCTTTCAGGCGCTTCTGGAGTGACTCAGAGAAGGAAACTGAGCCCTGCTTGCCTTGAAGGAGGGGAAAGCTTTACCAGGGAGGGAGGTTTCTTCAGTAATACAGTAGCCCCCGAAGTTCAGTCCACTGAGCAGCACAGGAACTGGCAGCCTGAAATTGCACTTGTCACTCCTCAGCCCCCTGCCAGGCAGTTAGGTACTGAAAGGGGAGCTCCCCTCCCTACCCTATAGCTCTACAGGGCAGAGAAGAGCCTCACCACAAGGGCTGCAGCAGGAAAAGCTGCACTGTAGCTGTCCATGCTGCCCCTTCCTCTGGAGCGCGATGGTCCAAGATGGGAGACTAGTGCCTCTGCCTACGACTTGAAAGGGAAATTCAAGGCAAGACAAGTTTCAGCCAGCCACCAAGTGCAGAGGAAATTTTATCACAGGCACATTTGGGAAAGTTCCCAGAAATGCCTGCCATGGCCCTTGCTGCCCAGACACGCCTCTGCCAGTGGAGTTGCCAGCAACGTAGAGATGCATTTTCCCCTCCTGAGCACGGAACTTGCTGAGTGGTTTTTAGAAAAGTAACACAGGCATTTTAAAGGTGTCTGGCTGTTGCCTAGCAGCAATGTTTCTACATGTATGCGGATGTTCTTGGATAAGGGGACACTGCACCTTGTACAACTTCAGCTTCACTCCTGAGTGGCCATGTGTATGAAATGCCAAAGTACAGACAATACCTGTTGGCTTGATTTCCTAAATCACCTGCCAATACTCTGTTCAAGACCGGGTGCAACAATCAAAGATCAATCATGATGTGTTCATTCGATATGGGAGACTTTTATTGATATACAGTAGCAGCATAATGATTAGCAAGCAAGCAAATCTCTCACCATACACAGGGCTTCCAGGGATGCTCAGGAAGGCAGACATCTGGTCAGTACACTGATTGCTGATCTGCAGGTCTGCTGCTTCAGTGACCTCAACTACTTGCTGATGCTGGAAGAGAGAGCACATCCCCTCCTGTTTACCGCTCCAGATTTATACCTTCATCTTATGCCATCTATCCTGCACTGGTGTTCAATCGTTGGTGGGTTAAGTCCACTGCACCTTGCCAAGCCAATCATCTTTTTTGTTGTGTCTCCAATCCAACCTTTCTATATGGTCTGTTCCCAATATTCTGCACAGGCCACTGCTTCTGGTGTTGGTGTTGCCAGATCTTGTGGGGTGCTTTATGGTGCTACAGGGCACCTCAGAAGATGATCCAGGATTTGCTTTTCTTGACATGATTTCATGAGAAAGTTGCCCCATGATTTCATGAGAAAGTTGCATCTTCTGATACCCGCTTTCGATCTGTTCAGGCTCCACCATGCATGTTATTTGTAGATGAAGCCAGATGTTAACTCCTCACTATGGGTAATTCCTTGCTGGCTCCATTCAATAGCTTTGTTGCCTAGTTTATCCCATTCTTTTTGCCAGAGCATAGCTCTGACTGATTCTAGGAATGTGGTCAATGGTATGGTAGAGAACAAAAAGCTACTTCTCGATGAGCAATGCTGATGCATTGGTTGATGTCCATATAGCAGGTGGTGGTTGCCTGACTTTTACCTGCCAGCCAATGTCACCTGCTACTTTCCTTCTAATATAAAGGAGCACTATGCCAGATAGTGTGTATAGGCAGGGAACTGGGGTGAGTTTTATGTGGCCTCTTATAATTCTGCATGTATCATTTAAGGTGGTGTCAATATGTTTACTGTGACTTGAGTGTCCCCAGGTGGTGAGAGTATATTCAGCCACAGAGAAACAAAGTGCTAAGGCAGTAATGCATGGGGTGGATGGATGTGCTCCCCACTTGGAATTTGCATACTTGCACAGAATGTTGTTTCATGTGTTGACCTTGGCTTTGGTATTTAATATGTGCTTTTTGTAACTAAGTATACAGTCCAGTGTTACCCCTAAGTAGACCAGGTGTTTCTCATGTTCAAAACACCAGCCTAGCCAAAAAAGGCACTGCTCACATGTGCTTCTTGTGCTGGACTATTTAGGTGCAGTCACAATAACACAATAATAAACCTGTTTTTGTGCTTTCAGCTGCACCTTTATCTGCATGAGAAGAGAAGCCTAGCACCTGTTACAGCCTGGGGAAAAAATACTCCCTCCATTTGCACCCCGCCTTATCTTTGGAATGTGTGTATGAACAACTCCTGTCAGGTTTCCATGGGAAATCTTTCCACTGCTGGTGATGTCATCTTTCTGGGCCTTGCTAGAACAAGCAAGCACTTAGCTATACTTATGTCAAGCAGTAGTAGTCTGTGTTAACTATATATGTATATATTCTAATAACTAATTAAAATATAATATGTTAACTACATGTATGTGTACTAAAGAGTAAATAACAGGTCTCAACACAAAATTTAGCCAACAATACCAGCCAGGATCTCTGTCCTGCTGTATTGGCCAATCAGCTAGAATGCCCTGCCTCACACTTCTCTAGAAACCATTTCTGTGATTCAGCCTTCTCCAGACATATCAATTCACTTTTGTCCTCCTAGTCCAGCCTAGCAGTGGCTCATTAGAGAATGAAGGCAGGTGAGCTGAAGGAATATCTTGTATCAGACTAATTTATTCTGTTGGGAGAGAAAGTAAATAATCTTTCGGTTTCAAGCACCATTCATCCAACCTGAGAAAGAAGTCATCTCCATCTAAGCTAAGTAAGAGTTGAACAACTGCTCTCACTTTCAGCCAGAGATGTCACAGATATGGTCTGTGGGCTGGGTCTGGCCTGCGGAACCACATCACCTGGCTCCCAGTGCTGCCCCTGGGTGCCACACTTGGCACATGCCAGCCCAGCCCTGCAGGCAGGGTGCAGGACATGCATCACATGATCTCTGTGAAACACACCCTCCTGGGCTGCGAGAGTCAGATGCGCCAAGACATCATCATCACGAACAAGGAGACCAAGAAGATTGTAATCGTGGATGTCACTATCCCCTTTGAGAACTGGCACCAAGCCTTCACTGACACCTTGGCTCGCAAGCGGGAGAAGTACGCCCCACTAGCCGACATGAGGGGTCATGGCTACAACGTGACCGTCAATGTGCTCATTGTGGGAATGGTTGGAGCCTAGGACTCCAGCAATGAGAGCATCCTGCGTGCCTGCTGTGTCTTCTGCCACTATGCCAAGCTGATGCACTGCCTCATGGAGTCCAACAACATCTGTTGGTCCTGTGACATCTACATTGAACACATCACGGGCCACTGCCAGTACATCAACCTGAAGAGGACCCCCGTGATAAGACACTATAGACTGAGAAACTTTCTTCAACCTACCCTTCTCCACCATTGCGGACCATTGTACAGGTTTGTGTGCATCTATCTTCTTTCTCTCTCAGCGTCGCGACCCCCTCCCTCCCCTACCTCCACCCCCTCCTCCCATCCCCAGACTTAGTTGGCTAACACTGTATTTTCTGTAACGTAGTTGCGTTCCCCTCCTCAGCCCCATCCCTCCTATGTTAGTCCCTCACTCAGGCACTCTGTATTTCCCTTCAGGCTTTGTCATCTTTCTGGTTCATGATTCTTAACATCTACTAATAAAATCCAATCTATTCTAGCTGCTCTGTGATCCATGCAGCACTCAATGCATGCTCCAGGTGGTCCATGACCTGCCCTACAAATGGTACCCATAGCACCACATGCAGCATGGGCCCTAGACTGGCTGGAATGGGCACTGCATGCAGTGTGTGGCCTGGATCAGCCAGAAGAGATGTTGCATGGGGTGAGTCCAGCATGTGGGAGGGCAAAGGGAAGGTGGGGTCTGTGGGCTTGATCTGGCCTGTGGACTGGCCTTACATCACTCATTGGCCAGGTGAGTTTGACACCCTTGTTTAAGCTAATGATATCATTTGCACCACTTGAAAGGGAAATGGACAGTTATCACTGTGGAATGAAGGGGAGTTGGCAGAGGAAGTTAAGTTAAATGGGTCATCATAAGCCTGAAGGTTTCTTCTGTCTACAAAGTCCTGGCCTAAACCCTGCAAGGAGGCCCTTTTACTGCACAATAGGACTAAAAACAGGGATCAAGTACAGAAAATGAGAGCACTCACTCAGCTCACTTGGTCCAGCCCCACTTAATATGTGGTCCCCAGACAGACCCCCTCTATAGACTTTCAGCAAGACACTAACCAGTCAACTGACCTCACTCATCCCTAAGGCCTGGGGATTTACTTTTTTTATTCCAGGATAGGTAGGGTGACCATATTTCTTGAATCTCAAAATGGGATAGGCCCACTCCCTCGCCTTCTGACAGACTTAGCTGTTTTTGCCATTTAGTCTCAGTGGAATAGGCCAGCGGGTGCATCTACATGAGACACTAGGTTGCCACCGTAATGAGCTACAGTGACGTAGCTCATTGCTATGGTGATGTAGCATCAGCAGGCATGAACCACGATGCTGGTGCTACT